TTGGTAGAATATCTAGAAACTTGCAAAATACCCTAAAAACATAGTTTTCTCTTCTGGGGGGTCCCTTGGGTCACTTCCTGTTCTCCAGGATGGTGCAGGGAGGTGCCCATGGGAGGTGACCTCCATGGACGAGGCAACTGCAGAAGCACATTGGAGCAGAAAGTCATGTCAGAGGTGCCTTGGGCTCTTTTGGCTTTGGTTGCAGACCGGTATGGGACACGGTCACTGTGCCTGCGTGGATGCTGGTGGACGTAGGCAGGGGTGTGGGCTGGCTCTGGCTCTGCCTCATGCTCTCAGGCTCACTGCCGGCATCCTCTGGGCATTGGTGAAGGCTCGGTAACGGGGCTTTTATGTGTCAGTCGAGCTGAAACTCAAATGTCTGGCTGATTGTGAATTCACCTGCATCAGCTCCATATGCATCCGGGTCTTCACTCTAAAAGAAAAGCTGATGAAAGAGGCAGGAACACAGTCTCAGTAGGGAAGAGGCTTTTAGAGGGGAAAAATTGTTTGAAAAATAGCAAAGAGAGAGGAGGGGAGAGAGGTCTGCTGGGAAAGGAACATTACTTCCTTGGAGGTCTGGGAAATACATTATGCAGAGCTCCAAACAGTGTTTGCCAGCAGCAAGTCTGCTTAGATGTGTCCATGGGGGTTTCCTTGTGTTTTTTCTTTTTTTTTTTTTTTTTTGAATAGCCAAACTTTCCTGAGGCCCAGGGTGATCTGTGACTCCCAAGTTTGTGTTAGGAACTCATTTGTCCGCACAGTAACAATGTGCTCTGGGCTATGCATGCCATGCAGGGAGAAGGTCCACCTGGCACAGTCCAGACCAGTCCCTGGAAGAGGAGTGGGTTTGACCAGGGAAGGGCTCGCCTGGGTCACCAGTGCTGGCTATGCCAGAGCAGCCTTGAGCTGCTGGTTTTGGATGAGCCGGGGCTGAGCGGGCCTCTCTGGGGCTGGATGTCCCTCCCTTGGTTCTGGAGCTGGGCTGGGGTGGCCTCGTGGGATGGGGATGCTGCCTGGTGACTGCCAAGGAGCAATATCAGCCCCTTTCCCTTCGCACTGGTGTGACTGAGAGTTTGCAGGAGCTGTGCTGGGTCTTGGGGGTCTCTGAGCCCTTTGTGGTGCCCAAGAAGACCATGGGTGGGGTTTGGCTTGAGTGTGTTGACAGTAGGTGCTCTCTTGGCCATGTTCTCCCTGAGCACTCGGCTCTGTGTTCCCCCACACAGGGCTCCTGCTGGGTGCCTGCTTGCACCTGGATATTTTAAGTCACCGTCCCATTTATTTTGGTTTCTTCCTTGTTGCCATAGGCCTTTGGTTTGTGGCACAAGGCTGATCTGCCCTTTGGGAGGTCTCATTCCTGGCCCCAGCTCTGCCGCTTAAGCCTACGGCTCCTCTGAAAAGTGATTTCACCTCTCGCTGCCTCAGTTTCACCAAAGATGAGTTGGGTCGTGTCCTGCTGGCATGTGCCGCCACCGGAGGTCATGAGGATGTATGAGCAGCAGAGATGTCCCTTTGCTTCTGGGGCTCTGGTGCAGACTTCCTTGTGGGCTGTCAGCAAGTGCTCATCTCAAACAGGCTTCTTAACACATGAGCACTCCGAAGGTGTTGCTGTACCCTGGCCTCCCCTGGGACCTCTGGGTTTCCTTTGTCAGGGCAACATCTGCTCAACTGTCCTGCATGTGTCCCCATCACCTCCAGAACCACTGAGGGGGACCTGCAGCAAGTGGAGGTGTTCCAAGGAGGGCTTTCCACTAGGTGGCTTGGAAAAACACCTTCAGGGGGGACTGAGGAGCGAGGGAGGGTCACGGCCAGGAGCCCTCATCGCTGTCTGCAGCTGGACTGCAGCCCTTGGGCGCGGAGCATTGTGGCACCAGAGGTCATGTCCATGCTGTCAGCGGGAGCCTTTAGCAGGGAGGGATTTCCTGAGGGGCTGATCATGGGGGTTATGCAATCTCTGAAGCTTTCCTCTGCTGAGACTTTTGTCGTAGAGATTTTCTGACGTTTTTGTCCTCTGGAACAAGCAGCATCTCTTCTTTGCCGTGTGAGCCCCTGGAGAATTAGTGGAGCCTTTTTTTAGTCCCAACCGATGGATGTGAGATGCAGTCCTGGCTCGTGCACGACAGCAGGCTGGTGCTCAGCGCAGGAGGGAGTGGGAGTGGAAATAGTTGTCCATGGCCATTTGCATGTCATGCAGTCCCTGGACAGTGGGTGACAGCTTGGGTAGGGCTGGAGGAGGTTTCACACCGTGGTCTCTCCCCAGTTTGATTTGTACATCGCGGGCGGGCTGGCCCCGCAGCCAGCGTGGCCCGTGCTCTTATCCTGGCTTTGCCAAGGACACGCATGGCTTTGGGCAAGTTCCCTCAGTCCTCTGTGGCTGAGCATCTGCGCAGAGATAAAAGCCCACTCCCGCTTCAGGGGGCTTTGCGAGGGTCTGTGGGCGATAGCAAGGCACTTTGAAAGGGAAACGTTTTAAGTGTTTGTCTGCAAACCGCCTCTCAGGCGCACGTGTGCTGGCCTGCTTTTAAGAAAATGTCTTTATTTGTCCTATCTGAAAGAAAGTGATTCCTCCTCTGTGTCTCTCTGCTGGGGCGTTGGAGCAGCCCCCACCTCACTAGCAGTGTGCGAATTCCCTTTTTTCTGCTGTATTTTTCAGGCTCCGACCGCTAGACATTGAGTTCATGAAACGCCTGAGCAAAGTGGTCAACATCGTCCCTGTGATCGCAAAAGCCGACACGTTAACGCTGGAGGAGAGGGACTACTTCAAACAAAGGGTAAGGGGCTGGTGGCTCTTCTCTAGGCTCCCATCTCTTGTCCCCCATCCCCTCCTGCCCCTTTCCCCCTCCCCAGCTCCCCTTGCCTTCCTCCGTCCGGGCTGGGAAGCCGAGCTCCTGGCCGGGAGCCCAGCGCATTCCTCCGGCTGCAGCTCTGAGCGATCCCACGTGGCTGGAGGAAAGGCCTGTGCTCCAAGCAGTTCCTTGTGTTTCTCTTGGATCTTTGTCAGTGCAGGGTAAGTTTGGAGCTCTAAGTCTTGGGGCCTGTTTCTCCTGCCTCCTTTGTTATTGTTGGTTGTTATTTTCAGGCTGGTTTCTGTTATTTTGGGAGGTAGAGGGTGCTGGAAATCCCATCCTGTGCAGCATCACACACTGATACAGGAACCAGGGGGGAAAAAAAAAAAAAAAAGTGTGGGTTTGCTGATCTCAGCTGGGCAAGATTTATGGGGAAAACAAGGCATGAAATTCCCTTGGTCGGGAGCTGGTGGTGGGGAGCCAAGGAGGGGCTGTCTGAATCCCCAGCGAGGCGCAGGCTCTCCTCCGTGCATGCACGCCTGGTGCTGCGGAAGGGTGGAGATGCCCCGCTTTGGAGTTCGGTAAGGGGCTGTAAATCTGTTTGTGCAGCTGATTGATGTGGCTGCAGGCGTGGTGGCCTCAGCATTCCCTGCAGAAGTAAGCAAGCCACCAAGGTTGTTAGTCCGTGAGTCTGAATTGCAGGGATGTGGAGCGAAGGGAAAGGGGGTCTTGCCAAAAGGGCAGTTTTAGGGACCACTTCCCAGGTTATGGAGAGGATGGCGCATTAGCCAGGAGTTGTTCGATGCCTCCGTGCAGAAGAGGATGAGCCACCCCTTCCCACACCAGTGTCTTCCCAGTTCTTGATGAGCAGGATCAGGCAGTGAAATATCCAGTCTTGTTCTGGGGGCTGAATCCAAACTCTGCCATCAGTTTCCTTAGCAGTGAGCTAGAGGATGGCTGGAAGTGGAGCCAAGAGGTAACCCAGGCTGGGCTTGATCCGTGTGTCAGCCTGTTTGCGTGGAGGTCGGCGAGGAGCTGGTGCGGGAGGATGGGGGTGGGAGTGCATGCTGCCACATCTGCCCTCTGCAGTGGCTTTTGCAGGCTGCTGGTTCCATTCGGAGATGTATCTGGGCGACTGGCTGGCGCTGGGACTACAAAGTCAGTCTGGGACCTACAATGTCACCTGGGTACTCTTGGCTGCTGATACCATCCTTGTGTAATGAAAGACCATAGGGAGACCACCTGGCTCGCCCACTCTGCAGCAGCTCAGCGCAGGGTGGGCTCGCCCTATCTGTAATTGCCTTCCTGATTGTAACCAGACCCCCAAAATCCTTCCAGATGGAGGGAGAACACGTAGCCACGTGGTGTGTTTGCAGTGCCCCTTCTGCAAGGGCCTCACCCTCCTTAGGCTCACGGCTCCAGATCCACTGGTGCAAACGAGAGGGCAGGTAATCAGTCCCGGTGGGCCCAGGCTGGCACCTTTTCCCTTTGCTCCAGCGCGCCTGCATGTGTCCTTCCGAAAAGCAGAGCACCCTTTGTATCTGGGGGTGTAGCTGGCTCAGAAAGGTGAAAGGTTTTTGGGTTTGGATCAGGGTGGGCAGGAGATGGTGAAGCACCAGCGTGGCTGCAGGCTACCTAGGCTGATGCCAGCACTGCGCTGAGTTAGTGGAATGGGCTCTGATGCCCTGCAGAGTTGACTTTGTTGGGTTTTTCCCCTGAAAATAGCGTGTGGGTTTGGCTGGGGGTTGGGAGACTGGCTGGGGGGTTTCTGTGGGCTGGGTTCTTTGCCAGCCTGCGATGTAGGGCTGACACGGAGGAGTTTATTGCCATAGGAAGCGATGGGAGCGGGTGTGCAAGGCTGGGTTTGGGTTTGCAGCTTTGTTGGAGTAGGCTGATCCTCCAAGCTCCCTGTGAGCTGAGCCTCCACCCAGGAATCAGATTTCAGTGTCTTGTTGTCCTGCACAGAGGCAATGTCCTTTTTTTTTTTTCCAAGCTGTCTGTGTCCCTGTCCCCTAGGATCAAGCACTGCCATGACTCCTTTTCCAAGGAGCATAGGCGAGCACCGGAAAGCAGCTTCTTAGCTTTGGGTTATGTGCCTGGCAGCTACTTTTCCCATTGCTTGGTGCAGCTTGTGTTGTCTTACTGTCTTTTTCAATCCCAAAGCAACACCCAGCTCATATAACTTCATCTCAGTCTGAGCCTGAACCGTGTCTTGGCACCAGGTTCTTGCAGACATTGCAGGGCAAGTGCTTGGTAGGTGTGTAGCAGTAAAACACAGGTCTCTCTTCCCCAAGGTGGGCAGTGTTTAGCATGGAGAGGGAAGATGTTGCTGCTCATGAGAGCCTCTTGGGTTGGCTGGGAGCTGCCCCTGCGGTGGGAGTGCAGCTCCTCTGCCTGTGTCTCCTTCACGTGTTCCTCTGCTTTTCTCCCATAGATAATGGCCGATCTTCTTGCCAATGGGATTGATGTGTATCCTCAGAAGGAGTTTGATGAAGACTCTGAAGATCGGCTAGTGAATGAGAAATTCAGGGTTAGTGTGTGGTGTTGGCGGGTTGGGTGTGTTTGGATGGGCCTTGCAGCTCTGGGTGCTGGTGATGTCCTGGGGGGTCTCTTGCAAACAGCCTCTATTTTCTTTCCAAAGCTACTGTGCCCCTGTCCAGGGCGTTTGCCCGGGACTTGGATCCTGGGGTCTGCCCAGGGGCAAGGATCCTGCCAGAGCTCAGAGCAGGGGCAGAAAGAGGATGAGGATTTCCTTGCTACAGGAAATAGCTAACAATTTTTTGGCTCGATAAAGTGGATTGGACAAATTCAAGGAAGAAAAAAAGTCATCTAGGGACTCCCAAGTACAAAGACACCACCTTGGATCAGGAAATGACTGAGCCACAGGTTGCCAGATGCTGGGGGTGATTCCCAGGGAAGCATCATGATATCATTGCCCTGGCTGTACACTGGCACCTGCCAATGAGGTGCTGGGCTAGACTGGTTTTGGGCTGGTTTTAGGTTTGTTTTGGACTGGGCACATGTGTGAGAGATGCTGCTGCCCAGGTCTTGGGCTGCCTGTGGTCCCTGGCGGGCAACACTGCTCAGGAGCATCAGGGACAGACCAGCTCATCCCATGAAACTCTCTCCTCAAAACAGCTGGATGTAGGACTTTGCTCGCTAGCTTCATTTCCTGACTGGTTTTCAGGAAGAAAACTTTACCTTTTTTTTTTTTTTCTCTTTCTTCAGGAAATGATCCCATTTGCAGTGGTGGGCAGTGACCAGGAATACCAGGTTAATGGAAGAAGAATCCTTGGAAGGAAGACCAAGTGGGGCACCATTGAAGGTACCTTGTCCTTTACCTACCTTTTGAGCCTATCTCCCTGCCCTGACAGAGGGTCATGAGGTCCAAACCAGCAGTAGAAGTTGAGGTGCATATAATGCTTCCCTGCCCCTCCAAAGAAAATCACTTCCCTTGTGTTTGGGGAGTGAGAACCCCTTGGCCAATGCTCCTGCACCGAGTTCCTGGGCCTTTGTCCGGCGCACGGAGCTGCTGAGTGCCAGAGGGGACACTTCAGGGTTTCTTGTGGCCTGTCTCCTGCTGGTTGCACAGTTAAATGCCTGATGGCTGGATTTGAGGGCGTAGGAGTGCGGTGCTGACATCTCTGTCTTGAGCCCAGATTAGAGCCTTTCCCTGGGCATCCATGCATTTGGCTGGTGCCCTTGTGGGATCTCTTCCTTCTTCATCCCATCACTATCTTCCTTTTTTAATCCCCCATTTTAAATCATGATTTAAAGGCTAGATGAAGGCTCCTGGCTCCAGTACGTCTACCCATTTTCCTGTCAGCCAACTGGCACATCTCCAGTGCCACCTGCCTTATCTTCCTCCATTTCATAGGTTTCTCTCATTTATGAGTCTTTTTGGTAGTAATCCTGTGTTGAGGGATGGCTGAACAAAGATGCCACGATAATCATTGTATTTTAAAGCTCTGCTGCCCTCTTGTGCTCTGTCCTTGGAAGCTCTGAGTTTAATGGGGCTCGTTAAACTACTCACCTTCTGCATGTGGCATCTCCCTTCCAGCACGGGGAGACCCCAGGACCCAGCCATGGGCCCAGGCAGCCTTTGCAGAACCGTGTTAGTTGTTTTCTTGCCATTTCTGCATTATGGGCAAGCCCGTTTGTGTGGAAAAAAATCCAAAGAAAGGCGTTGATCCTTTAAATTCAAATGCCTGATAAGCGGCAAGTCGTCAGACTGATTGTGGTAGAGCAACACCCCTTGGTTTTTCCCTCTTGCAAACACTCTTGCTTGTTCCAAGCCCTATTCAGAAGCAGTAGCCTTTGTCAGCAAGAGATCGAATCCTTCCGCAGCACCAGCAGCCAGGGCAGCGCTGGCACTGTGCCTGGAATGCTGCAGGGTGCTCCTGGTGAAGCTACAGATGAAACACTTCTGTGGGGTCCGTCCCTTTCCCTGCCTTGTTTGGGGCCCACTTAGGCTTGTGTTGGTCCAAAGGGGGAGTTATGGTGAGAGGTGCTACTGGGAGCTCTCTCGTTTGGTGGGAGATGGTGGAAAAGGACTGGGAATGCTCAGTCAAAGCTCACCAACCAGTTGGTCGTGCTGAGCTGGGGCAGGTACCTGGGTAAATCACCGGCCTTACAGCAGAAGAGAGGACTCTTGAGTTCTGCACCCTATAGCCCTTGGGGGTAAGTCCCCTTCTCAGGCCTCCACACACTAATGAAGCCCTATAGTGTCCTCCTTACCCCGAGTGGTTGCCATACTCCTGCTGTGGGCGCACGCTGATGGGTTTCTCTCTCTTCCTACCAGTGGAGAACACGACACACTGTGAGTTCGCCTACCTGCGGGACCTCCTCATCAGGTCGGTAGGACTGTGTCCTGTCCCTGTAGCCTTCAGTCACCAGGTGGCATCCAAAGAAAGGGGAGAGCCCAGCACAGCTTGAAGCAGCCGTGGTTTCACTCTCCTCCATCCATCCATCCATCCCCTCCCAGCCTGCTGCAGCTCTGCAGCTCCTCTGCCCGGGGTGGCCCCACTCAGTGGGACGTGGCTTCAGGAGGCTTTTCTCAGCTACGGTGCTGAGTTAAGGGAGGAGAGGAGCACTGGGTGGGTCAGGGTAGGCTCCAAGATTGCTGGCAGCATGCAGCGTGGCTCCAGCTTGCCTGCAAGCAGCTGGGAAGCCTTTTGGCCTTAGCGATCCCCTCACCAGCCCTGGGTCCTACCCCCAATCCAAAGACATCACCCTCCTGTGTCCCAGGATCGTGCTGTTGCGGGGTCTGGGCGATCACTGGTCCCTCTTGAAAGAAGCGTCCCTGCCGCAGGGGAATGGGAGGCTGAGCCCCCTTGGTTGCTGAGAGGGCATTGGGCTCCTCCTAAATTTGGCTGCAAGATAAACTTGGCACACATGAGCTGTTGGCAGATGGTTGTGTGAGGCTACAAAACCTGATCCCAGGGACTTGCAGGACTGGAGTGTTCCTGGATGGGTGTGTTACGTCAGGGCTCCTGCATAGCCAAGCACAGGCTGTTGGTACCAGTGAAGGCTTCTGGTCTTGGCTGCCCCATAATTGCCTTTGCCTTCCCTCCTGTGCCCTGAAGATGTCATTAACCGATAAAGCAGGAGGGGGAGTTTGGGCTGGAGGTTCGAAAGCAGAGGTTGGAGGGTGCAAGGGTTGGGGCGGCAGCGGCTGGGCTGGCCGAGCCCGCGCCCAGCAAGGTGCGATCGCCCCCGTCTCCCTTTCCTGCAGGACGCACATGCAGAACATAAAGGATATTACCAGCAACATCCACTTCGAAGCCTACAGGGTCAAGAGGCTGAACGAGGGCCAGAGCTCGCTCTCCAATGGCGTGACCGACAAAGAGCTGGTGGCTAACGAAATGTAACCGTCTCGCTCCGTAGCCAGGACCTTGCTCGCTCACGCTCGCTATTTCTCCCCTCTTCCCCCTTTATTTTTATATAAATCCTCTGCCACTGTCCCTCGTCCCCCGTTCCTCC